GGGAAATATTGGACATTGTTGCATCTTGTAATGAAAATAATTGATTTGCAACATTGAGAAGAGAGTAGGTTAGGTGAGGAAACTGTTTGGTGTGGAAAGTAAGGTGAGAGAAGATCAAGACTGTTGCATCACTGAACTAAATTAATTAATATGATGCAATAAGAGCCAAAATCTCAATTACCTCACTTCCACATTAATCATCCTTTCTCCGTGTATTCCACCCTGCTATTTCTTCTCTCCACATGTGCAGTATTAATCTTTATATATTTGAAAAACTGTAAATATAGTTGGAATCAATAAGCCAAAATTGTGGAAACTGAATACAGTACAGTAATATACAGGATTTCAAATACCCAGTTTCTGCTGTAATTGAAAATAATATAACACAAGTGTCTGATAAAATGGCACAGCTAGCATCTGTGGTACTTATAAGGCAAAGCTTATAGAGTAAGCAAGTTAGGGCAACAGCTATCATTGGCATGTACAGTAATAAAAAAAATACAACTGTTAAGAAATAAAATAGAAGACAAGGTAGCTGCCATAAGAGAAATGATTGAGTCACTACCTATAGTAGTTTCATGTATTTCTTTAATCTAAGCTTACAAGTCAGTGCTTAATGACCCTGATAGTTTAGCACTTAGTTTTGATAATAATAATAATAATAATAATAATAATAATAATAATAATAATAATAATAATAATAATAATAATAATAATAATAATAATAATGAGCTTACGAGTACTGTAGTCTATGTTAAGACTGGTCTTATGACTGAAGAGCCTCCACTGTGCATATGCTTACAATGAAACATAAAATACTTACATAAATTCTCAATAAACAAATTAATATTAATTTTATTAACATTTACAAACTCTTCCAAAGTAAAGACTAAAAATTAAAACAGGAAGAACATAAGGATAATATTTATATTGTATTATGTATGCTATGTTAACCAACCTTAGTCACTGTGTCAACCCTCTTCATGAATTTCTCTACATTTTCCTTTGGGTGTTGTTTGAGTAGAGGAATCATCTTTAGGGGCTTGGTCATACCTGGCTGATCTCTCTCTCGGTCCACAAACCTAACAAAAGTATAAGTTGAAACATTCTACTATATTTAAGCATTAAAGCATGACCTAAAGTAGGAAATTACATATTATTAGATGCATAGAAAGCAACATTTACTGAAATGATTCAAGGGAAACAGGTCAGCAGGACTTGGGCTCTGGAGGCGAGAAAGACAACTTGAAGGAAGGGTTGAGATGTTACAGTTTGGTGGGTAATCTTAATTGTGATGTAAACAAGTGACGGCAAATGTTTCCTTCACTGGAGCCAGACTCATAGCCAGGTTGGCTCTAACAACAAAGGGGTGCGAGCGCACACACACACACACACACACACACACACACACACACACACACACACACACACACACACACACACACACACTACCACACACACTACCACACACACTACCACACACACTACCACACACACTACCACACACTACCACACACACTACCACACACACTACCACACACACTACCACACACACTACCACACACACTACCACACACACTACCACACACACACACACACACACACACACACACACACACACACCACACAGAAACAAGAGGCCACAATTGGAAGTTGAAGACACAAATGAGTCAGAGAGATATTAGGAAGTATTTCTTCAGTCATAGAGTTGTAAGGCAGTGGAATAGCCTAGAAAATGACGTAGTGGAGGCAGGAACCATACACAGTTTTAAGACGAGGTTTGATAAAGCTCATGGAGCGGGGAGAGAGAGGGCCCAGTAGCAACCGGTGAAGAGGCGGGGCCAGGAGCTAAGACTCGACCCCTGCAACCACAAATAGGTGAGTACAAATAGGTGAGTACACACACACACACACACACACACACACACACGTACTCATATACAACAGGCCTAGTGTCTAATCGACATGTGCCTAGGACAAAATGGTAACTAACACACACACGCGCACACACATGCGCGCACGCACACACACGTGCGCATGCGCGCACACACACACACGCACACAACATGCGCACACACACATGTGCACACACACACGCACACACACACGCACACACATGCACACGCATGCACACACACAAACACACGCACACGTGCACACACTCACACATATAACATACATACACACACACATACACTTACACATACACATAACATGCACTTACACATACACTTACACACTTACACATACACACACACACATACACACATACACACTCACATACACACACACATACACACACACATGTACATACACACGCACACACACACACACACACACACCACACTACCATGCACACTACCACACACACTACCACACACACTACCACACACCACACTACCACACACACACACACACACACACACACACGTACTCATATACAACAGGCCTAGTGTCTAATCGACATGTGCCTAGGACAAAATGGTAACTAACACACACACACACGTGCACACACACGCGCACACACACACGCACGCACACACACACACACATACACACACACACGCACGCACACACACACACATGTGCACACACACACATGTGCACACACACACACACACACACATGCACACACACACGCACACGCACGCACACACACGCACACACACACGCACGCACACACGCACACGCACACACACACACACATACATACACACACACATACACTTACACATACACTTACACATACACATACACTTACACATACACTTACACATAAAGTCAAATCTGGCCCAAAACTGCTGTATAGCCACATTAGGAGGAAGACAATAGTCAAGGACCAGGTGATAAGGCTGAGGAAAGAAGGTGGAGAACTCACAAGAAACGATCAAGAGGTATGTGAGGAGCTCAACACGAGATTTAAGTATTTACAGTAGAGACAGGAAGGACTCTGGGGGGACAGACCAGATGGGGACACCAGCAAGGAATACACCAACAAGTGTTGGACGACATACATACAGATGAGGAGGAGGTGAAGAAACTGCTAAGGGACATCGATACCTCAAAGGCAATGGACCGGACAACATCTCCCCATGGATCCTTAGAGAGGGAGCAGATATGTTGTGCGTGCCACTTACCACAATCTTCAACACGTCCCTGGAAACTGGGCAACTACCTGAGGTATGGAAGACGGCAAATGTAGTTCCCATTTTTAAAAAAGGAGACAGAAAAGAGGCACTAAACTATAGACCTGTGTCATTGAAGTGTATAGTATGCAAAGTTATGGAGAAGATTATCAGGAGGAGAGTGGTGGAGCACCTGGAACGGAACAAGAGTATAAATGCCAACCAGCACGGATTCATGGAAGGCAAATCCTGTGTCACAAACCTTCTGGAGTTTTATGATAAAATAACAGAAGTAAGACACGAGAGAGAGGGGTGGGTTGATTGCATCTTCTTGGACTGCAAGAAGGCCTTTGACACAGTTCCTCACAAGAGATTAGTGCAGAAGCTAGAGCATCAGGTGCATATAACAGGAAGGGCACTGCAATGGATCAGAGAATACCTGACAGGGAGGCAACAACGAGTCATGGTACGTAATGATGTATCACAGTGGGCACCTGTGACGAGCGGGTCCCACAGGGTTCGGTCCTAGGACCAGTGCTATTTTTGGTATATGTGAACGACATGATGGAAGGGTTTAGACTCAGAAGTGTCCCTGTTTGCAGATGATGTGAAGTTAATGAGGAGAATTAAATCAGATGAGGACCAGGCAGGACTTCAAAGAGACCTGGACAGACTGGACACCTGGTCCAGCAAATGGCTTCTCGAATTAAATCCTGCCAAATGCAAAGTCATGAAGATAGGGGAAGGGCACAGAAGACCACAGACAGAGTATAGGCTAGGTGGCCAAAGACTGCAAACCTCACTCAAGGAGAAAGATCTTGGGGTTAGTATAACACCGAGCATGTCTCCGGAAGCACACATCAATCAGATAACTGCTGCAGCATATGGGCGCCTGGCAAACCTGAGAACAGCATTCCAATTCCTTAGTAAGGAATCGTTCAAGACACTGTACACAGTGTATGTCAGGCCCATACTGGAGTATGCAGCACCTGTTTGGAACCCGCACTTGATAAAGCACGTCAAGAAACTAGAGAAAGTACAAAGGTTTGCGACAAGGTTAGTTCCAGAGCTAAGGGGAATGTCCTATGAAGAAAGATTAAGGGAAATCGGCCTGACGACACTAGAGGACAGGAGGGTCAGAGGAGACATGATAACGACATATAAAATTCTGCGTGCAATAGACAAGGTGGACAAAGACAGGATGTTCCAGGGAAGGGACACAGAAACAAGAGGTCACAATTGGAAGTTGAAGACTCAGATGAATCAAAGGGATGTTAGGAAGTATTTCTTCAGTCATAGAGTAGTCAAGCCGTGGAATAGCCTAGAAAGTGAAGTAGTGGAGGCGGGAACCATACATAGTTTTAAGGCGAGGTATGATAAAGCTCATGGAGCAGGGAGAGAGAGGACCTAGTAGCAATCAGTGAAGAGGCAGGGCCAGGAGCTATGACTCGACCCCTGCAACCACAAATAGTGAGTACAAATAGGCGAGTACACACACACACACAACACACACACACCACACACACACACACCACACACACACACACACACACACTCCCAAACACACACACCCACACACACTCCACACACACTACCACACACACTACCACACACACTACCACACACACTACCACACACACACACAAACACACGTACTCATATACAACAGGCCTAGTGTCTAATCGACATGTGCCTAGGACAAAATGGTAACAAACACACACACACACACACACACACAAAAAAAAAAAAAAAGCCACCACCTCACATATCAAATAAAATAATTTTAAATTCACTATATACACGTTAGGCTGTTTTAACGGAATGATTTAATAATAAGTACTTACTATGTTATTTTGTCACTGTATGACCCTAGTGGGTTTAAAACTTTTTTTTATAATAACAGTAATAATAGTAAATAATAATAATAATAATAATAATAACAATAGGTTAGTAGACAGCAACCACCCAGGGAGGTACTACTGTCCTGCCAAGTGAGCGTAAAACAAGAGCCTGTAATTGTTTTACATGATGGTAGGATTGCTGTTGCTTTTTGTCTGTCTCATAAATATGTAAGATTACAGGTATGTCTTGTTACTTCTACTTACACTTAGGTCACACTACACATGCATGTACACATTTATTTAAACACACTCATCTGAGTTTTCTTTGATTTTATCTTAATAGTTCTTGTTCTTGTTACTTTTCCCTTTCATATCCATGGGGAAGTGGAATAAGAATCTTTCCTCCGTAAGCCATGCGTGTTGTAAAAGTCAACTAAAATGCCGGGAACAATGGGCTAGTTACCCCTTTTCCTGTACAGATTACTAAAAATAATAATAAGAAAATTGCCCAAGTGGGATGTCTGAATGTGCATGGATGTTGCGCGAATGATAAGAAAGAGATGGTTGTGGATGTTATGAATGAGAAGCTGGATGTCCTGGCTTTAAGTGAAACAAAGCTGAAGGGGGTGGGAGAGTTTCAATGGAGAGAAGTAAATGGGATTAGGTCAGGGGTTTCAAACAGAGTTAGAACTAAAGAAGGAGTAGCAATAATGTTGAAGGATAAGCTATGGCAGCAAAAGAGGAAGTATAAATGTATTAATTCAAGGATTATGTAGAGTAAAATAAAGGTTGGATGTGAAAAGTGGGTTATAGTAAGCGTATGCATATACATGTATACACCTGGAGAAGACAGAAGTGTAGAGGAGAGAGAGAGAGAGGTTTTGGGAAATGCTGAGTGAGTGTGTGGGGAGTTTTGAACCAAGTGTGAGAGCACTTGTGTTGGGGATTTCAATGCTAAGGATGCTAAAAATGTTGTGGAGGGAGTAGTAGGTAAACTGGGGTGCCAGGGGTAAATGAAAATGGGGCACCTTTAATTGAGCAATGTGTAGAAAGAGGTTTGGTAATAAGTAATACATATTTATGAAAAAGAGGATAAATAAATATACAAGGTATGAT